ATGCCTGGTAAGGTTGCTGTCACCTTAGAGGTGACATTAACTGCTGGCATAGTCAGGCTATAGAGCTGATGTTCTTATTCAGCATTTTTTAAAGTATTCACTCCATACTGAAGAGGAAATATTTCAATTCAGGAATCAGAAGATGGCAAGCAACCTTCCCCCCCTCCAAAGATGTGCTGATGTATTATTACCAAATATAGAATCATTTATAATATTAGTACTTCACAGGGCAGTATTATGGTCATTTATGTATTTTATTCTAGTAAAGTTTCTAAAAACCATAAAGAAGTTTTTTTTTTCTCGTAAAGAACAGAAGGGAATATCAAAATATGATATAGTGAGTAATTGAGCATGAGATGATATTTTGCCACTGAAACTGCAAAATGCCTATCTGAATCTATGCTAAGTCACCCACATCAGCTATTTTTTCAATTGTGTAATTGCTATGACTATGAAATGTGTGTCATAATGATTACAAAATCTAGAAACCTGTAATTATTTTTAAGAGGCAATGGAACCTTTCCTCAATGTAAGTTTTTTTTGTTTTGTTTTTTGTTTTTCCCTTCATTCTTAGGATAGGAGTGAAAGTGAGTGAGGAAGGACAGCCCTCGATTGTTGATTATTGCTTAAGGGCTGCAGTGTCTGTGTAGAACCGCTTGCCAGCCAGGACTCCCGGTCTTTTGGTGTCAATGTTTTAGCATGTCTTTGACTCCTCTCCTCTCAGCGGTGGGCAAATGGAGGTCCGGGGGTGTTGGATGCCTAGGCAAAGCCGGCACTTGAACCCAGGTCTTCAGCTTGCCCCTTTCAGGAGTCCTGCAGCACCTTCTGTGCACATCAGCACCCTGATGCTTGGCTGTGCTGCAGGTGATGCTTTGTGAGCTCAACCAGGTGGCTGAGTTTCTGCCTTCTGAACCAAGGCTGAGCTCTTGCAAGAGGTTTTGCTGTAGCAGGGGATGAAAAAACACTGTTCCCCATCAACTGAGTTCCCTGAAGACTCTGCAACTCCACACCTATAATTTTACTCCATGCCCTCCGCTGTCTGCAAGTAGTGAAACCACAGTTTGAAATGTCGTTGTGTCTGTAGCTAACTTCATATTTGTTTTTGTAAAATTGGTTTTGTTCACCGATGCCTTTACTTGATTGATAGCAGCAAAACTGGCAAGAGGTAATGAGACTTTCCACAAAATGTATCTTTACCGGGATGTAACAAATGGCTGTGGCTAGCCTCATCTGCAGGAATTGCGGCTTTCAGCTTGAGGAAGCGGAAGAGGAACTGCAGTGAGAACAGCGCTTGAAGGGCACTCGGTGCTTGTGCTGAGGCTGCACGTGCTGTGCCAGCAGCAGGGTGACACTGCTTGTGTCGTATGAGTCTTTCAGGGACCCACTTCCTCAGTAACTAGTAATCCTTTTCAAGACTCTCTTTGCACAACTGGGGGTAAAGTGAAAGTACCTGAGCAGTGTTATGCATACTTTGTGATTCGAGGGAAGATATTGATGAGAAATGCAAAATGCCATGGCCATCTTAAAAAAAAAAATAGTTGTTAGCTGTGTTTCTGGAAAGGAACACTTTTGTAATTCAAAAATGATAACAGGAATCTCTGAGTCCTATATTTGGGTGATCATTTTGATTAATTTTCCCTTTAATTTTTACTCAATAAACTATTTCAATTAACTACAAAAACACAGTTTTTGGCATATTTAATACATCTCAAATTTTTTATCATACATATTTCTTTCAGGGGGATTAACGTTATGGATAACTAAACTGTTTGACTTGAAACTATTTAATTACCCTTTCTTGATCTAATTCCCATATTTTTTTTCCTTGAACTACTATGTTGCATTTTAATACTATTTACTTGTCCATTAATTGTACCTCAAGCAGTTTTAGATTTCACATAAATGATATTCCAACATGCTTTTTCCCCATTCATCATATTTTGGAGACTTAATTATATGTTAAGTGGACATTGCTTTAAATCATTTTAATGAATGTAAAGCATTGCAGTATGTAAAATGACTACATTTATCTATTCTCGTATTGGATTTTTAGATAGTTCCTAGTCTTTTTGATATTATCAACAGTTCTGCATTGAACGTTTTTGTGCATTATCTTCTTTGTGCCACTGTGTGAGGCTTTTCCTTAGGATTAATACCTACAAGTGCAATTTCTGAATCTTAGGGAAAACTTGTTCTGCACTTCACTGGATTCTGAGTTGGTCAACTGTTTGTAGCAGTTTGTACCTCCACTGGCAGTATGTGAACACTCTTTTCCCATAACTTCACCAATATATCACCCACCCAATCAGGTGAATGAAACTGATTTTTGCTAACTTGAGGTTTGTGAAATAGCATCTTAGCTTGTATTTTTGATTATTAGAACTATCTAACAATGTTACAAGTGTATGGGAATCCCTAACCTTTCTTTTTCTATGCTAAAGTTTTTGTATATGTTGTACATTGCTGATGCTCAAAACCTAAAGCAATATTTTAAAAATAGATAATGAAAGTTCTTGCTTCCATCCCGCCCTGTTCAGCCCATCCCATTCCCATTTTATTAGTTCCTTGTGTTTTTTTGCAAATAGATGCAAGTATGAATGCATGCTCTTATTTTTTCCTCCTTACACAAGAATGGCCTGTGTCAGTTCTTCTATATCTTGCTTTTTTCCACTTAAATGTGTCCAGGAAATATTTTCATTTTTCTTTTTTTAAAAAGATTTATTTTATTTTTTTTTATTGGAAAGGCAGATATACAGAGAGGAGAGACAGAGAGGAAGATCTTCGGTCCGATGATTCACTCCCCAAGTGAGCGCAACGGCCGATGCTATGCCGATCCGAAGCCAGGAGCCTCTTCCGGGTTTCCCACATTAATTTCTCTTAATTAATCCCCTTTGACTTTAAGCATGCTTTCTGAATTGTGCATTGATGTTTTTAATTCCAAAAAAATTCTAGCTTTATATTTTGAAATACTGTCTTTCCATCATTGCATTTTCCCTGCAAAAGACAACTCTTTTCTCTTGAGAGAAAGGTAATTACATCCAGAGTTTCCAAAGTTTGAACCACCCAACTAAACATACTGAGGTATACAAAGAAAATTCTACATGGTAAGCCAACAGAACCACAAAGAATCAGGTAATGAAACAACCATGCTTAGCATGTTCAATGAAGCAAGTGAAGAAAGGGCTGGTGAGATGGCTCAACTAGTTAATCCTCTGCCTCCAGCATCTCATAGGAATGCCAGTTTGTGTCCTGGTTGCTCCCTTTCTGATCTAGCTCCTTGCTTATGACATAGGAAAACAGTGGAGGATGGCCCAAACCCTTGGGACCCTGCATCCTCATTCGAGACCTGGAAGAAGCTCCTGGCTTCAGATCAGCTCAGTTCCAGCTGTTGTGGCCATTTGAACAATGAACTAGCAAATGAAAGATCTTTCTCTTTCTGTCTCTCAGTCTCTCTATAAATCTGCCTTTCCAATAAAAATAAAATAAAATAAAACGAAAAAAATGGAGAGTGCTCCCCAAACAATAATAAGTGAAAAGGAAATCCAATTGAAAAGGCTCACATTTCAGAGCTTATGGGGGCAAAAAGCCTAGTTTTTAAGATAAAAAGTGACAAAGGATATTATAAATAACAAAATATTACCAGTTCATATAAAAAACAATGAAACAGAATACAGTTCAGCAAATACAAAAGGCAATAGGGAGAAATAAAAATGTGTCGAAAACATACAGCAAGTAAGAGACAAACACGGCCGGCGCAGAGGAATACACTGCGGCTGTGACACTGGCAGCTCGTTCAGGAGCACCTCTTCTCGTTCCGGCTGCTCCACTTCTGAGCCAGGTTCCTGCTGATGCTCCCGGGAACGCAGCAGAGCATTTGGGGCCTTGACACCCACATGGGGGACCAATCTATAAAAGGTTGTTCATCGTATGTTTGGATCATACGTTCTTGAACGGAGCCAAAAACATTTGCTAAGAAACAAGAAACTAGTATTCTTGGTTCTGATTAAAACCAGCCCCAGATATCAACAAAACATTCAGCGTTTATGTATTCATTTTTGTTGTCGACATTAGAGTAACACATCTACTATGACATTGCAGAGATCAAACAACATAATATACAGGTTTTCATCTTCAAAAGTCAAGAACCTTAGTTACATACCTAGAATCAGGTTAATTGCTGTGTCTTGAATGAAGTCAGGGACTTGAATTGCTAGGCTAAATATAGATGCTCTTACTATTTAAAATGTAAAGCTTTAAGTACTTTTTGTATATTTTTTTTTCTGTGAAAAAAATATCCACCACCCAGACTGGTGTGTGTGTGTGTGTGTGTGTGCATTCTGCCAGACCCAAGTCAGGAGTGTCTCTCACATGGGTGGCAGGGAGCAAACCAGTGGAACCATTACCTGCCACCTCCCAGGGTGCCCATTATCCAGAAGCCAGAATTGGGAGTGGAGCCTGAACTCAGATCCAGGCAGTCTGACATGGGATATAGGCACCCCAAACGGCTATGGCTTTAGTCCTCGCTAAATGTTTAGGAGTATAGTTCCTTTTAAATGGTCCATTTTCTGTTTTCGTCCTTCCTGTTCAAGATTTGATTTAAGTATTCTCAGGCTGCATGGCTGTTCCCACATGTACTTGGTATAGTCATTTTGAGAATGAGGAGTCTAGCTCTTTTTATGGAACTCAGTCACCCTCCTGGTCAGACCGCAGCGTTTAAACCATTTGTGAAGAAAATTCTCGGGCACTCTTCACAATGATTTGTATTTTATGTGTTTGTTACCACAACCAGGCAAGGGAATTGCCTTTTTCTTGCATCCAGAATGTCTAAGTTTTGCGATCCTGTCTTGTCCCTGGCTCGGTGGGGGAAGTGGGTGGTCAGAGAAAGAAGTGCCTGCCTAAGGTTGTGTGACATTCCCTAAGTTCAGCTTAGATAAACGGTAGCCAAGGAGCGTCATTCCAGAGTGAATTTGAAGGTGTGCTTGTATTTTATTAACTCCTAGGCGAAAAGGTGTTTGTGTCTCTCTATGGAGCTGCCGTGGACTTGAACATAAGGCTGGACAAGAATTCTTTGATCATCGAGAAGACCTACATCTCTCTCTCCAGTCAGCGAACTGTAACCATTCACAACCGCAGTAACATCATTGCCCATTTCCAGTGGAAGGTATTCGCCACCCAGGAAGAAGAGGAAAGAGAAAAGAATAGGTTTGTAGCAAAAATCATCCCTAATCAATAAAGGGTGGGGAGTGGGTGGGCAGGGGCAGTGTAAAAATCAGTTATTGTGAAAAATCAGTGAGTTTTATAGCAACTTTTGAAGGAGCTCAATTTTAAACTTTTATACCTTGGGTTCCAGTGTATGATGCTCTTTCATAATGCTCGTATAAAGAACCATAGCTGAGCTCTGTGGAACGGAACATTGCCACCCCTGATTCTCCTTACCCTTATTGTAACTGAGCAGTGATGGAACTGCTAGATTTTAAAGACCAAATATATCATTCTTTACTCTTCTTTCAAAGCTCATCTACTTATCTGTTTCTTCTTTTAACTTTATCAAGTCTGATCAGTTTATAAAAATAATTTCTTTTGGACTGGCATCAGTGTAGATTCCTTTTTTTTTTCAGTTAAAAAATATTTCCAGAAAATACTAAGAATGAGGAAATGAAGAGCTTCGATATAATGGCTTTTATGGTCTTGATTTTAGTTGCATTATTCAATCACTGCAAACCATGTAATTTAATAATGATTTCTTATATCACTAACACACTGCTTTTTTAAAATGATATTTTAGGCAGTGGAGAAAATTAATAAAACGTGAAACCAAAATGTTTAACTAATCTCACTGCTGCTGAATTTTGAACATTTTTTTTTTAACTGAATACATCCTTGCCTCTTTTAAACTCGCTTTTCATTTTATCTCTTGCCAGCCTCTCTAAATTAACACTTTGGGCTGCTTTCATTGGAATTTGTTTCAGCTTCTTTTTTTCACCCCTTTTTTACTTGCCTTTCCATTTTCATTAAAGATTAGCCCTGGGAAGCTTCAAAGCTTTGTTTAAGACCAAGTTAGCATGCGATAAAAATAAAAATCTTAGGTCCTTGGAAAGCAGGTGCACGTCCCCCAGTGTGCTCTTCCTAATTGAATCAGAAGGAGCTTCGACAATGACAGGACACAGTGGGCCAGAGGCCTTGTCATTCAGACAATAAGCTTTAATCACTGGATTGCCACTGTGCCACCTTTAAAAAGGGGAGAAAAGAAAACCCTGCCCTGCTCTGGCCTCGTAGCACGGAGATGTCAGTGGCTGGGAAAGGCAGCTGTGGCTTCATTTGTCCTGATTCTCCCAGCCGACACGTGCTCACCAGCCATCGCAATCACCCAAACGTGCTCAGAGAGAACATGAAAGTGTGGGCACAAGTCCTGAAGGTGAAACAGCAGAAGCGGTGTTATAACACTGCCCTTGTCCCCTGAGCCTACATTGTGAGAGGTACACCAGCTACATTTTTGCCGTGACTCTGGGTTGGACTTGTATGTATCTCCTGTGTGTGTTTGATGCTGTGCCAGTGTCCAAAAAGTATCTAAGGAAGTTAATTTTAGCAGTTAAACTGAAAAAAAAAATTAAAATCCATTAGCATTGGGGATACTGAACTACAGTGAATATAATTCCAGCCATAGAAGAAGGGACATTTATTGTTTTTCCCTATCACTTCACCTCCCCCAGCACTCACACCCTGATTTCTTTCATGTTGTCTTTTGATCTTACCTTTCTTCTTGCATTGTCTCTCTTTTACTTTATCTCTTATTTTCGTAACAAGGGACAATGCAGCATAGCAGTTACAGAACTGGAACTAGGAGCCTAATTTTGTCATGTAGCATCCTGCCCCTCTGAACGAATAAGCTTGGAAAGTAACTTCATGCCACTGAAAGATAATGCTGTCTTTTCACTTTGGGTGACATTCAACAACAGAGCTCATGTTTTCTCACACGCAGTTTACAGAGCCTGTTAATGAAGGTCAGATATTTGGTGCAGCAGTTAAGTCACCTCTTGGAATGCCTGTGTCTCATATTAGGATGTCTAGTTTAAATCCCTGTTCCCCTTCCAATCCCAGCTCAGCAGTGACATGCACGCTGGAAGGCAGTACGCAATGGCTCAGGTACCTGGGTTCCTGCCTCTCGTGTGAGCAACCTGGATCGCCTTTCCAGCTTCTGACTACCACCTAGCCCAGTCCGGCCAGCCAGTCAGGGGCATTTATAGATTGAAACAGTGAGTGGGAGAGCTCTATCTGTCTTTTTCTCTATCTGCTCATCCCTTTGCCATTCAAAGATTTTTTTCCCCTAAGTTATGAAGAGTCTACTGAATGGGTGTCCATTCCTTTTTTCCTCCTCACCTGATTGCTGGAGGAGATGGACGCCATCGTAGCCCATCGCTTCATTGATTAGAGGACCCCTTCTCTCTCTGTGCCCTCTCTTATTCCTTTACCCATCCTAGCGTCCTGTATGTTCTGTTCTCAGCCATCCTGGAGGTGAGTGCCAGGACAGGCTCACCCTCTCCAAAAGCAAAGCAGAGACAGAGCTGCTTGCCCTTGGCTCGGCACTTCTGTCCCCCTTGCCCGGCAGCCATGCTCTTGCTGTGGGTGGGGCCACTCCTCGCACACATCACAGATTTTTCTGACTGTTTTCAGACAATCATCAGTAGCAGATGAAGCAGAATGTTCTTTTACAGCTTGTTTGTGGGTAGAGGTTTGTGCAGCCCTGAAAAGCAGCAGCAAGGGTTGTGGCTGATGAGCTCCCGGCAGCACCTGTGCAGGTGTCCTTGGGATTAGCCTCGGCATCGCGCTCTTGCTCTTGCTCAGCAGAGTGAGCAGCTTCTTCTTTTCTCCATCCCCTTCATAGTCTGTGATTAAAAATGTAGAGAGAGAAGGTCAGCTTTGATCCTGAGCTGATACACATTTCTCAAGGCTCAAATTCCCCCTTCCGTGATGCCAGGGAGCTGAGGTTTAACAGCCCTGTAAACTTGCAGGTGAGACCCAGGAGCCTATGCGCTGCTCTCCAGTTGTAAGGCAGGTCAAAGCTTGCCTTGAGGCAATTTATCTGCTGGAACTGAAGTCTTTTAGAAAGTGCTGATGGCTTTGACCCACACCCTAACTTCTGCTCCAACCATCATGGTTTCTTATCCAGCATCTTGATGTGCTGTCTCTTCTCACCAGAGGAGTTTCCACCCCATGAAGTCCTCTTCCCTTCTGACAGTCTGTAATCTCTGTTCCAGTAGGGCTGACCCCTTCCTGCCCACTATGCTCAGTGTGTTGACACAAGCCTGAGGACTCTCGTCCAGGGATGTAGACATAGGGCTGCTTCTAGGCTCCAGACTCCAACCATGAAGATGTGTGTGCCCTGAGGGAATAGTTCTGAGCTATTGTTTGTTTTTCATTCTTTTTTTTGCAACTTTAGAACCTAAGACAGGACCTTTAGAAAGAAAAGTTCTCTTCATTCTCTTTCCTTCTTCACGTTAATTGCTCTGAATCCTGCAGAGCAATTAATCTCTTTATCTCTCTGGAAATAGAGACACCAGTCATTCTTCTGTTCTTTCCCAACCTGGTCCTGAGGGATTCTCATCACATTTGCCACAGGCAGAGACTCAGCATGAACTACTAAGGATTCCTGCTCTCTGTTTCTCCAGCAAGGGCATGGCCATTGTCCCAGTGGCTGCCCAAATTCTTGATCTGCTCTTAGGAAAAAAAAAAAAAACCTGGAATTCTCACTGGGGCTTCCACAGAATGGTCGGTATGGATTTATTTCACCACACTGACGTACAGGAAGTGGTGTGTTCCTCTGGATAAATCAGTTTTAATTGGGCTTCAAGTTTGCCACCAGCTCCTAATAAATGTAATCCGGTGGCATTGGTAGGATTCTTCACTTCCCTCGGGTCAGGTAAGAATCGAATCTGAAGACAAATGTGGTGACCTGGTACCCAGGAGTAGGAGCCCGGCCTCAATTCATAGCTGTCATTGCAGAGTTTCTTTCCCCGGTCACATGGCCCATCTGTTCCATGCCAAGTGGGGTGCAGGAATTTTTGACAGCCTGCAAGGCTGTTGTCTTTGGCTTGTAGTCTTCTCAGCAGCCACTGCTGCATGTGGATTGTGTGAGAGATCAGGGTTCAAGTCTCAAGCCCCTCACGATGAAAGAGCATTACTTACTCAATCCTGCTCCACCTGGGATTCAAGCCTCTCTCTCAAACTCTGCCTTTCAAATAAATAAAGGTATGTTTAAAAAGAAGAGATGAGTGGATGTTATGTTTCGTATTCAGTTCTCTTCTTGTCCTGTGCAGTTCTGTCTGTTCCGTTCATGTTGCTGTGTGTGCATCTCTGCCTCTGGGTGCTTGCTGCAGGCTCTTACCTGCTGCACATCTGCCACCTTTTATCCATGTCTTCCTGCAGGGATTATAGTCAAGGGTCAATGGTAATGTTTACATATTGGGCAACCATGGAAAATCTGCATTGCTTTAATCTGAGAAATGTTTAACAAGTTTTAAAACGAGTCAATTTCTGGTGCTGGCATGGTGGTGTGCCTGTGACACCAGCATACCATACAGGTCCTGGTTCTAGTCCCAGTTGTTCCGCTTCTGGTTTAGCTCCCTGCTAATAGTCAGGAGAGGAAGCAGAGGATGGCCCACAGGCCTGGGGGCTGTGCTTCGGACAGGCTGAGCTCTGGCTGTTGCAGCTGTTTGGGGAGTGAACCAGCAGATGGAAGATTGATTTCTTTCTCTCTGTCAATATATAACTCTTTCAAGTGAAATCTGTGTCCTTTTTTTTAAATTCCTTTTATTATTTTGCTTTTGTTTGGAAGAGTTACACAAAAAAAGAGACAGAGATATCTTACACCCACTGGTTCACTCCCCAAAGGGTAGAAATGGCTGCAGCTGGGCCTTTCTGAAGCCAGGGGCTTCCTCCTGGTTTCCTACAGGGGTAGAGGACCCGAGGACCTGAGCCATCCTCTGCTCCTTTCCCGGGCCACATGCAGGGAGCTGGAGCAGAAGCAGGGCAGGCAGGACTTGAACTGGTGCCTGTATGGGATGCCAGCAGGCATGTTCCTCTCTCCAACCCTTCCGCAGCTCAGCCACTGTAGACAGACATTTGGGGAATGAGCCAATCCTGAGAGTCTCTCTCACTCTCATTCTCTCCTTCTGTCTCTTTCTCCCCCTGCCTCGCAAGTAAGTTAAAAAAAAAAGTCACAGACATTTAAAAATGTTATAAAATATTTTTCCTTATTATTATTTTAATAGAGAAGCATAGTAGGAAGCAGGATAGCTCATTGGCTCATATCAGGGAATACAAACTGCAAGAAATCCACTTGGCCGTCTGGGCTCCCATCCTTCAACATTGTGACTTGGAGCAAGTTGTTTAATCTTTCTGAGCCTTGGTTTAATCATCTGTAAAGTGGGAATGATGTCAATAATAAAAATTACCTCATATAGTAGTTATGAGTATTAAATTAGGTGATGTATGTGATGACTTTGGCCAGTGTCTGATAACTAACATTTAACCAATCCTTCATTTTCTAGCATCAAATTTACTCACTGGGCTTGCTGGTGTCATTCCAGAACCTTAATAAATGTCTTTGTAGCTACGTCTTTGCTTATAAACACGATTATTTCTTAGAGCTTATTCCTGCTGGTAAAATTTATTGTTTGAGAAGGCACATAATTTATAAGTCTTTTAGGTAATTATCAACTAACAACATAAAAATAGATAGATTCCTTTCCTTCTGCAGACGAGCTGTCTGTGATCTGCCCAGCTCGGCCCAGAAGTGATTACTGTGGATGCTGCTTCCCACCTAGCAATAAAGAGAAGGCACGGAGCACTTTCTTCCTGCGAACTAGAACAGCCGAACCCATTTCCTTGACTTCTTTATGCTTTGTTACCAAAGGTCCCTGAATGCTCATGATTAAAAAGGAGATATTTGACAACCCCAAGCATAGAAAGTAATTTAGAAAATGAGGTAGACCCGAACAGGAATTCAACAACCCAGGCTTCCGCTCAGCACTAGCATTACTAAACAATTTGTCATCACTGGTAATGTGAGCACAGTGCTTGAAAAATGATCATTTGTTCTGGGAGGAGGCAAAAATTCACAAGAAAAGTTACACACAGCTCCTGTGCCAGCTGGGGAAGGCTGCTCCTCTAAATTACCCAACGTGAGAGACAGGAATGGTGGTGGGGGTCCTGGAGGGTGTAGCAAGGGACTACAAGCCCAGCTTGAGCATTTTGATATTTGCCTATGATTATCACAAAGAGAAAACTGGTGTTTATAAAGTGCCTGCTTTGTCCTGAGAACTGCAGCAGGTCCTCAAAGATTTAACCTTTAGCACATCTTTCTTACAGAGAGGCGCCTCCCAACGTCCTAGAGCCAGTAGATAGGTCATGGAGTCAGTATCCAAATCTGGTTCCTGCTATCTATTGGTTGTGTGGCCTGGGAAACTGTCAGCTGCGAAACAATCAGAATTCAGCCAGTTTTGAAGTCATTTATCATTGCCAACCAACACCCCGAACTGGTTGGAGGTATTGTTGTAGAACCCTCAAACAGAAAGCCAATCACTGACATTGGAGTGGTGGAAGAAAGTAGCTGTTTATTGCAGTATGCAGAGCAATGGGCCAGGCACCTGTTGCATAATTCCTGGGTTCCCCAAAGAGTTAGGGGTGAAACAAAGATGAGTGGAAGCTATCTCATGGATTTTTATTTCTTTTTATCTAGTTTAATCTCTTTAAAACACTGTATTTCTCATTAAATTCTTCACTGACTCATAGATCCTACAGAAGCATCATTTTCTTCGAGCAGGTTCTTGAATTCCTTTTTCATTTCTTCAGCAACACATTAGTCATTTAATAGCACATTATTTAACTTCATGGTGTTTTTAATTTCTTCTTTTCTTCCTATTGTTCATTTTGTTTTGTGGCTTTTCATTTAAGGGGATGTATAGGTAATTGTATAATGGAGACTATCATATCCAGATGTCAGGATACAATAATGCAGTGTGCATCTCTACTTCCAGATCAAAGATGGACTCCCAATGAAACTATTAACTATATCTTGACAATAGTATGCTGTATTCTTTGCCATTGTCCATGCCCCACAATGATGGACATATGACTGTGTGTGAAGAACTATACCATAGTAACAATATAGGGAAACTCAGGGGGAGGGGAATAGGGAACTTGGGGAGGGGGTAAGGAAAATCCCAGGACCTATGGAAATGTATAATAAAATAATAATAAAAGTAATAAAAAAGAAGAGTGAGTGTTCTTACAGACACTTGCAGCTGAAAGGTACATACGTGCAGGGTTCCTGACTGGTCAGCAATGCCATGATCTTTAGGGAATTTATGAGGGTCTGGTGGGCTCTAGCCCATGGTGGTGGGGGTCACTTGAGAGTAGTTACAGGATTTTCTTCCTGACTCCTGGGCATCACTTCCTTAAGGCAGTGGAGTCCTCTTAATAAAGGTCAGTCAGGGATGCCTTGTTCTAAGGGAGACAACCAGACAAAGACACCTGGAACTAGGGGAGAGGGTGTGGGTCTCGACCACACTTTTATATTACAGGGGTTCAGTTTCAGAGGCAAGATGGATTTCCAGCATTTAACAAAATGTAATTATCTAAAAGAAACTCTTTGTCCAGACAGACATCAGGACTCAGGAGCAAATAACAGGACACTGGGCAACAGTGGAGTCCAGGCAGGGCTTCTGAGAACCTCAGCCAACGGAGGCTCTGAGGCAGCTGATGGCCGGTCACACCTAACCAGGCGGCATGGGGGACTCAGGGCCAGCAGGACCCTGTCAGGGTGATTGATGGGGAGGACTTCTCCAGGAGGAAGGAGGGCAGGGGGCGCCCTTTGGAAGGACCAATGTGAAGCTCTCCTCCCCTGTATCTGCTTCAGGGTGTGCAGTGATCTGAACAAGGAGGAGAAGAAGGAGACGGACACATTCCTGGAAGAGTGCATCGTTGACCCTTCACTCCGAGAGCATCTTTCCATTCTCTCCCGCACCTTCAAGAATCAAAGGATGCTGGTCCAGGAGGACAGCATGTTCTTCCTGGATAACATCTTCACAATCGACCCCCTGGTGAGCACATGAATAAATCCTGACTACCAGTAGATCTAAGGGGAGCTCAGGACTTGTTGCAATGAGACTTACTCAGCTTCAGGATTGACATGGTGAATTCTGGAAGGCAAATTCCAACTGGAGAGCCTCACCATCACAGGATGCTCAGTGCATATTAAGGGTGAGAATGCTCACAGTTCACACAGTGGATCACATTGCCTGTACATCGGTCACTGTGGTACTGTTTCACACATATTAACCCTGTGTTTCATTTGTATGTCCATGGTTTGACAAGAACTCCATCAGGTAGAATTAGAACCCCAGTCTGCAGATAAGGAAATGAACATTTAGACAGACTCCATGACTTGCTCAAAGCCAAACTGCAAGTTTGTAATTGAAAATTCTTTCCTGATGAACCTGATGGCAGAGTTGGATTCCACAGCCTCAGCGTGATTGACATTTGGGGCTGGGTGATTGTTTGCCCTATCCACTGTAGGGTGTTTAATTCCACCCGTACTTTAACCTGTGGGTCTCCACACACTGCCAAGCATCCCCTGGTAGAAAATATCACTCCGGTTAAGAATTGCTTGTCCTTATTTCACTCAACATATTTGTATTGACTGCATGGTCTGTGCTTGGCAGTGTGTGAGGGAAGCACTGAAGAGCAAAACGTGGTTCTTGACCTCATAATCCTATCTGTTGAGAGCTGCCCTAGAATCAGAATAGAGTGTGGCTCCACACTAAAGCAATAACCATTCAATGCCACTGCTTTAAAGTAGCTAGCAATTTGTCCATTAACCATCTGACCAGTGTTATGCTGTGGGCTTCCTGTATAATTACCTCACATGTAGCAGATAAGAAGTGATATGAAGATATGAACAGCAGCAGGAGACAAGAAAGCCAGCAGCTAGTCCCCGCTGCCAACCGTTGCCATGTAAACCAGTTGGAGAACAGAGCAAGAGTACAAGGACATCCAGGAATACAAGGTCATTTGTGGGAAATGCCTCTGACAGGCAAACTCACTTTCCCTCACTGTGCCGTTTCAAGCTGTTAGAAAGGCTTATAACATGAAAAAAGAGGCTTGTAGCTAAATGCATTTGAGAAACATTAGGTTCAGTGTTGTTTGAAGGACTTCTTGGCTGTAAAGCTTTGCCTAGTCTTTAATATGCTAATGTGTGTTGTAAATCTCCAAGAGGGAGCTTTCCCCTTGAAGACATCCCCTGGGGACTCATGTTCTGTGGAACCCGCTGCGTGAATCAGTGGTGAAGACAGTAAGTACACTACACTTGATTGAGAAGCTGCAGTGTTTATCATAGGCTAGGGAATTGCCGAAGACTTCTTGAACCTTGAACTTGACTGTACAGGACAAAGACTTTTGGAAAAGAGAATTGTGGGTGTGTGTGGCCTGGGACAGCCAAGGCTCTGCAAGTGCACTGGCCATTTTCCAACATGAAGGGTCCATGTTGGAAAATAAAGTTGGTCCTGGGGATTGAGATGAAATCTTCTGTCCTGCCAGAAGTTTCTCCAGGGCTGTGCTGAACAAAGTCATCTCCCAAATACAATATGTTAGGCCAGCAAGAGGTGAAATTAAGATAAGGACCCAAAGTAACAACAAATCAAATCCAGGGATATGGGAAGGTCTGGAAGGAATCGCTGGTGCATGTAAGCAAGTGGCTGAGCTGGGTCAAGGCTGGGAAGACTGTTCAGTTACAGTCATCATAGACACACCCCAAGGTCCACAGACTGGCCAGTCCTAGTCTCGCTGGCTGATTCACTCATCCTGTTTCCCACCAGCATTCCCGAGTGGATGGCCCTGGAGTCACAAGCATGGTGGTTGGGAAGAGGCAAGTGGAAGGCCAGAAGTTAGTCTATCCGCTTTGGGGTCAGAAATAGAAAGCTTAGGAAAAATCCCAGACTTCCTTCTCCTTCTGCTTCCTGCCTCAACTTGAATTTTATGTTGGAAATGTCTGTGTATTGCATGGCATTGAGTATGATCACTTTTGAGTTCTAGACAGGAATTCAGTTGGGTGTTTTTATCACAAGGCATGTTCTCACCTGTAGGAAGAAAAACATCTTTAAATATGTACAAATAGTGCTTCTATATAAACGAGATAAATTTGTTTGTGTTGTATATGGGGGGAAATGCCAGAAATAGGAAGAGAATAATATCTGTTTAAGTTGTCTTTATGGAATCTATATTGGATTTATCTATCCCATATAATATTCAGCATTTATTTTTTCTTGTAGTAATGACCCCTAGTTGGTTCTTGACAATTTTTGCAAAGTGAACGTGAAAGCCTGAAACTTTCCAAGTGTTTTCCTAATGTTATTCTGATCAAAATGGCAGGACTCAGTATATTATTTATTGCTGTTTAATCCTTTTTCCTACTTAAAGATTCTGTTAGCTTATGTAAATACAATTCTTATTTGTATGATATCTTACCCTGTGAATTACTTTTGGGGGTGTCTGATGGCAAAATTCTGCCTTCTCACTAGCTTCTCGGCACAATCGTGAATTTTTAATGTTTTTTACTGTTGAGATTTTGATTTTGTGCTTTGGGTAAGTGAATGCTTCAGTAATCTCAGAGAACAGATTTGTGTAAGGATTTATGGAAGAGATGAGATCTGAATTGAATATTGAAATTGAGATGAGATTTAATGAGGTGGGAAGAGAGAAGGAGAGTGTGTCCAGTTGGGGAAATTACAAAAACATAGAAAGAAGGGGAATCTACATGTAAGATCATGATAAATAGAGCAGGTCTTCTGATTGGGGAAGAGAGTAGAGACCTGGGCTGCTTGGGCAGCTGTGTGCATTAGTGTAATCCTACTGTTTCCCCACCCCGCCCCTTCCCCACAGAGGTGGCAGGTGTGCTCCCGGAAATGAGCAAATGTGTGGTCCAGGAGGACTGGTTTCAGAGAAGTGGTGGAGCTTAATCAGCATTTCCCTGTGACGGTACCCCAGAGCTGGCGTTGTGCGGATGCCCATGTGGCCAGTGGTGCTCAGGGTGTCTGAAAACCACTGCCTGGTTCAGAGTTTGTGTTTGACACACTCAAGTTGGTTGAAAAGATCTTCCCTGACAGCCCTTGGAGAAGGACCAACAGAGGAGGAGACTGGTGTTGGGGCTCAGACAGGGACAAGCCGGGACGGGGAATTCGGAGAGGGGGGATCCTCTCTGTAGTCCACATCAGCAGTAGAGTGCGAGGGATGGAGGCCAGAAGGGGGAGAGAGAGAGAGAGAGAGAGAGAGAGAGAGAAAGAGAGAGAGAGAGAGAGTGAGAGTGTGTGTGTGTGGAGTGGGAGGGGGCAGGGTGAAATGTGAGGGGCTGAGACATGAGGCCTACCTTGAGCAGCCCAGTGGTGTTTGGAAAGGAAAGGGTGTGGTGGATACTTTTTGGTTGACTAGTCATTGAGGGTCTAAGTCTTGCTCACTTAACAGGTCAGATGTGCCAAACTGTCACCACTTAATTGATGACAGCTGAGCTATGCATCAGCAATTAGCTTTTTCTGAGACTGTTATGCTTTCTAATTAGCTTCTTGATATGCGTTCAGTTCACAGTGGAAGCAGGAAAATCAGGCAGTATTGCCTACCAGTCAGATAACAGATCTCTGATTTATAGCCTGTTCAAAAGATAAAAATGAAATTAAAATCATCACAGGAGCTTAGAGACCATTTTATTTTGTGTCAGACTCTTTAGCCACCAAGACAGGCCATTCTCTTCGAATGAGGTGGATTTTACAAGACAAAGCACGGTCACAGTAAGATCTGAAAAGAAACAAGAAATGTGTGCTTATTTTCTCTGATTGAGTTTAACATAGCTTGGTTCTTCAAGTGCATCAAACTGAAACACAAGAATCATGTAGCCCTGCTTGTGTTCTCTGCATGAGTGTTTTGTGGGACAGTGTTCCTGTTTTAGAGGCTCGTGGAATTTACAGAAAGGAGAGTCAAGATCAGAAGACAAATTCTGTCCCTAAATAGCCCGGGGTTAGTGATTGGTTTGAATCTGAATCCCATTGTCTTGGTATTATGGCAGAAGAAGCTTGATTCAGTGCTTAGGAAAGAGACCCAAGATAACGCAAGGTGTGAGGCCTTACTCTGTCCTGCCACCTGTCTGCTACTTCCATTGCCTCAGCACAGTTTGTTCTAAGACACATTGGTTCAGGTGGTTGGCCATCAGGTATGTTACCGTAACATCAAGAAGTTGGGTGCTGACATAGCCACAAGGTTCCAGGCCTTCCTGTTTCCATCACTGTCATCTTGTCTAAATGGTGGGAGGCTGCAGCTGCCCCACCAGCAAGAGGTGGCACTTTGTCTTTTGAAAGACCCCAAGACTGGGGAGAAAAAAAGGGGAAAGGACCCAGTGAAACCCATGGAAAGGAAATTCAAGACGGGGGAAATGTTTTCTTAAAGCTTCACTTATTAATTTATTGGTATTATGAAAGTGACCAGAGTTTCTGGTTAATCCTTAAAGTGTGAGGTGTGCTTCTACTATTTATATTGACTTTCTCGTAAGAAACTCTGATAGTATTTCAGAATATTGATACCATTAACGCATTTCATCTTTACCTAGGAAAGTTACTGTGTTCCATAGAATACTGAACATTTGTCAAGCCACCTACTTCCATATGAGTTCCCCATCTCTTTGAAAAAGAACTGCAAAACTGAAACTATTATGTGTGTTTTCTGCCTTCCAGAAAAGCAAGTGAAATTGGCTACTTTGGGAAATAAAATATCCTGTTGTACTAGGTGGACCCCAGTTCTGCAGAATTTTGACATTCTCATTCTGTTATTTCCTCTGCTTAGATCTCTTGGGTAACCTGAGAGAGATTCAAAGCCAAAAGAAAAAAAATGTAGTTCTGAGAATTCAAAGGCAAAAGAATATCACAAGGTAAAAAGAGAGAATTACAGTTTTGCTTCCCATGGGCATCTAGGAGTCCACTGAGAAATGGCCGCACAGATGTGCTGGCCTTGCCTCTGAACTCTATTGCTGCTGGCTCAGGTCACACTTTTAAGATACAGCAAT